TGCGGGGTCTCGCTCTCTCTCTCTCTGCTCCTGTATTCCTGCACGTAGCTCAGAGGAGCTGCATCATACAGACCTTTTGTTCTGCAGGAGCTACACACACACACACACACACACACACACAGACAGACAGACAGACAGACAGACAGACAGACAGACAGACAGACAGACAGACAGACAGACAGACAGACACACACACACACACACACACACACACACACACACACACACACAGACAAAAGCACAAACACACGCACACAGACTCTCTCAAATAGATACACACACTCTCACAAACACAAATATGCACACACACGCACACACAAACATACAGAAGCACAAACACACACACACAAACAGACAGAAGCACAAACACTCACGCACACATGCACAAACACACGCAAACACACACACATACACACACACACACACACACACACACACACACACACACACACACACACACAGTCATTCATACAGACAGACTGAGGTGGAGTCATGCACTCACACACACACACATGCTCACACACAAACATGCACACACAGTAAAACTCACACACTGCGAATTCACTCATACACGCACACGCGCACGCACGCCCGCCCACACACACACACTCAAACATGTATCATGCACACAAATATGCTTACACACACACACACCTCAAACACTACACATACACTCATTCACAAACACATGCGCACACACACAGCAAAACTCACATACTACACTTATACTCTCTCAAAACACACAAACGCACACACACGCACGCACGCAAGCACACACAAACAAACACGCAAACAAACAAACGCACACACACACGCACATACACACACACACACACCTCCATTGAGCCGGAAACAGACTGGCTGACTCTGACCTTATTGGAAACGGAGCTAATTCTGTGGGAATAATGGGAAGAGTGAACGTGATAACACACACACACACACACACACACACACACCGTATCACTTCCTTCAGCGCTGGATTACAGACAATAAAAGTTTACAATGTCCAGAAACATCCGCTCCCAATGACACACACTCTCTCTCTTGGCTGGTGTGTGTTTGTGTGTGTGTGTGTGTGTGTGTGTGTGTGTGTGTGTGTGTGTGTGTGTGTGCACCACAGGGCATTTTAATTTGGCAGGATATTGTGGATCAGGTGACAAACAATAGAGCTACAATACAAAATCACTCACCTGACACACACACACTCACAAACGCGCACACACACACACACACACAGGTCATTGAGGTCAGGGATTAGAGACAGGTTACATGGTTGTGTGTGTGTGTGTGTGTGTGTGTGTGTGTGTGTGTGTGTGTGTGTGTGTAACTAAAATAAATGATTAATGTAAAAAGTTGCAGGGGCGTCACGGTGGCTCAGTGGTTAGCACTGTCACCTCACAGCAATGTCGCTGGTTAGAGTCCAGACTGGGTCAGTTGGCATTTCTGTGTGGAGTTTGCATGTTCTCCCCGTGTTGGCGTTGGCTTCCTCTGGGTGCTTTAGTTTCCCCCACAGTCCAAACACATGCGCTATAGGTGAACTGATGAACTAAACTAGCCGCAGTGTATGAGAGTGAATGAGTGTGTGTGGATGTTTCCCAGGGATGGGTTGCGGCAGGAAGGGCATCCGCTGCGTAAAAACATATGCTGGATAAGTTGGCGGTTCATTCCGCTGTGGCGACCCCGGATTAATGAAGGGACTAAGCCGAAAAGAAAATAAATGAATGAATAAGTAAATAAATAACTAAAATAGAAATAAATATTAAAATGATCAATAACTACTTTGCAAAAAGTTACAATAAAATTAAATTAAAATTAAATTTAAATTATCTAAAAAATATTATTATTTTAGTATTTATTAGAAGAGATTTTTCTGAAGAAAGAAAGCTTCAAGTTTGCTTGTGTAGTCATTGTGTATCCACTAGATGGCGGCATTCTTGAATACATTAAGTACAGGGAAATGAAAGCAATGACAAAATCTGAAATAAAAATGTATTCAAATGTTGAAAAAATACTGAAAGATATTATTTAGCTATATTCAGTGGTGTAAAGTTGCTATTTACAAATACTTAAATTACAGTAAACATTTGTACTGCAGTATCGGTGCTTTTACTCCACTACTTTCCTTCAACCTGCAGTCACTACTTTATTTTTTCTTGTCTATGGAGATTAGGAAAATCAGTCCTGAGATTCCTGTCCAATCAAATCACACACAGAAGGTAAATCACATCATAATGAACTAATACGCCACCCAACCCGCTCCAAGCTTGTATCGAACCAGCAACCTTCCGCATAGGAGTCAGTTGCTCTACCAAGGAGGCTAAAGTCCGTGGTCTCTAGCTACAGTCACTAGAGCACCTTTAGAGGTCAGATGAGTGAGGTTTACCTGCACAGCACTTACTAGCCGGCCTCTGTTACACTGGCACAAGACGTCAACATGACGTCAGATTGATGTCATTGGCCAGCAGAAAGTAAAATGGTCGTGCCCAACTGAGTCTGGTTTCTCTTAAGGTTTTTTTTCCTTCACTCTCCTATCGGTGAAGTTATTTTTCCCTCTCCGCTGTCGCCTCTGGCTTGCATGATTCAGGATCGGTAGAGCTGCGCATCGATGAATTTGCTTTTCAGTGTTTGGACTCTCAGTAATAACTTTAAACAACACTGAACTGAGCTACACTGAACTGAACTTAAACACTAAAAACTGAACTACACTGATCCAGTTACTATGACTATGTATGTGAAGCTGCTTTGACACAATCTACATTGTAAAAGCACTATACAAATAAAGCTGAATTGAATTGAATGTTGTACCCAATGTCATGGGGATGCTGCATTTTGTTTGAAAACGAAAATCAGGTTGACGTCAGAACTCAACGTCAATGTCCAACCTAAAACCAACCAAATATCAACATCAAATGATGTTACGGCTTGACGTTGTGTGGAGGTTGCCACTATGACGTCTATCAGATGTTGGATTTTGGTTGTCACAACTGATGGATAAATGTCAGTGTTTAACATCAATATGACACTGGTTTCAGATGTTGGCTCCACGTTGGATTTTGGTTACTGTCTAACACAACCTAAAAATCAACCAAACATTCAATTCAATTCAGCTTTATTTGTATAGCGCTTTTACAATGTAGATTGTGTCAAAGCAGCTTCACATAAATGGTCATAGTAACTGGAACAGTGTGGTTCAGGTTTTAGTGTTTAAGTTCAGTTCAAGTTTAGCTCAGTTCAGTGTGATTTAATGTCATTTGACGTCAAAATAATGTTGTCCTTAGACGCTGGCTAGACATTGAATTTTGGTCACCTGATGCCACGACCTAAATATACCCTAATGTTAATGTCTTATGACGTTGTGTGCCTGCTGGGCAATAACTCAATGCACTACAGAATGTTACATTTACACACACATCCACAAATTACATGTAAATGCATCAGCTTTTCACAGCGTACTACTCACTACTCAAGTACTTTAGATAGGTCTTTTTACTCATACTTTGAGTAATATTTTCAACAGACACTTTTACTCTACTTGCACTACATTTTTAGGCAAGTAATGGTTCTTTTACTCGAGTATGATTTTTCAGTACTCTTTCCACCACTGGTTATATTATAACGAGGTATTTACTATCTTAATAATGCATTCTCCATGAGTCAAATCTAGCAGTAATATTGACACAAACACACACAGAGTAATTTCCTCTTTTCACCAGCAGATGTCAGAGTTGGATCAGCTAAAACTAAACACCTGACAGCGTCTCTCCAGCAGAGGGCGCACGAACACACACTAATGTAACAGCAGAGCAAATCAGATCCCATAACATAGCTTGACACAAGAAAACAGCAGCACAGTCTGACCATTTAACGGCTTGAAGAATGTATAAAGAGATTATTCAGAGTAAGAGTTTCTTACTGGCAGACTGGGCAAGAATTTCTCCATGTTCTCCAGGTCGATCCCATCATCCTCCTCAAACTTGTTCTTTATCATCCTGTTAACACACACACACACACACACACACAGACACTCTGTAAACATTTGGGGTTGATTATTTCTGCACATGCATAAATTTATATCAGC